GTGTGTGTGTGTGTGTGCTTGTGTTTATCTAGCAACACTCGCTCATATACATATTGAGGATACAGTAGTCGCTCGCTAAAACTAACTGCGTTTAATGAGAACTTGACGGTTATTTTAACCGAAATTTGTTGAACTTTTTGGCATTTTGGTTAGATTCTTTTAGGCATACTTCTTCTTCGTCTCCTTAGCAGGTTTCTTGCTATGAGACATCTTCGATCCCATAAGCTATATATAGAAATGTATATATTCTTGCTCATATTAACAGTCGCGTTGATATTGCCATATGCCTTGTATTTGTTTTTATACCCTGAACCCATTAAAAATGGGTATAAGGGTATATTGTATTTGTGCAAAATCCAAATGTATGTAACAGGCAGAAGCAAGCATCTCCGACCCCATAAAGTATATATATTCTTGATCAGCATCAATAGCCGAGTCGATCTAGCCATGTCCGTCTGTCTGTCTGTCCATATGTATGAATTCAAGGATATTAGAACCTATAAGACCTAGAGACTTGAAGTTTTAGATGTGTCCTCCGAGTGCCTGAGCACACACAATGACACTTACGATTGTGATTCCCAAACAGCCGAATGCTAAAAGAAATCTCATTTGAGCAAAAGAACTAATTTGCATGCGTTTTTTTATATATAAGGGTATATTCTATTTGTGCAAAATGCAAATGTATGTAACAAGCATCTCCGACCGCATAAAGTATATATATTCTTGATCAGCATCAATAGCCGAGTCGATCTAGCCATGTCCGTCTGTCTGTCTGTCCGTCCGTCCGTATGTATGAACGCAAGGATATCAGAACCTATAAGAGCTAGAGACTTGAAATTTTAAATGTAGGTGCTCCTAGTGCCTGCGCAGATCGAGGTTGTTTCCGATAATCGATAACTTACTCCATTTCCAAGCAATCGATAAAAATCGATATCCTCTTTCTTGGGCAATTTTGGTAAATAATAAGAGCTAGAGTCACCAAACTTGACATATAGCTTCTAAAATAGAATATATATATATGCATTTGATGTTGGAAGAAGAGGGTTCAGGGTATCCCCTAGTCGGGAGCTCCCGACTAGAACCTCTTACTTGATTTTTCTGCTAACTAGTTCCTCAGCTGGTTTATTCAGGTTGAATCGAGACACTTTATCATATGACACATCATAATCTTACAAACTACGGACCTCTATATCATGTATCGAAAAAATCTGGTTTATATAGAGACAACTTTGCTGTTTAAGAAATCTTCTAAAAACTACGCAATTTTGAGTTTTTCTATGCACCCAACATATCTGATAAACTGCATCGACTCGGACTACTATATCTTATGTCTTCTATATTAAGAACAAGGATATTCAATCTTGAGCATTTTAAGAAGCTTGCAAATGGAATATGCTTTTAAATTTGCATCAATAAAGGCATAAGCTAAATATATAGCATATATACACATTTGTTAGATTCCTTAACTGAGAGTGTGTTAAATTTGTAGTACAGTTTAAACTCGATTATGAGTAATGCCTTGGGCCGAGCTCGTCGAGCAGGATAGTCCAGAATGCCTTATACTATTTCATAAAATATATTAATTAAAACAATTCGCATAAGGTTGTCTGTCTGAGGTTCATTTTAAACCTCTGGTAACAGGGATTTACCTTTGTTATCCGTTAGCTAAAGAAATGGCTTTCGGATAATGTTCTGTGGATGATTTTTGGCGCATACGACGAGGTTACACTGTAGCTGTCGCTATAGTTTGATTTGACAGACTCTCGGCTGTTACCTTGCCAACTGTTATACATATTTATACGGCAACTGTTATACATGAGCGCGAGACGCTGGCAACAGCCAACTGGGTAAATATCGAAGCAGCAGCCCCTACACAGCTGCCCAACCTGTCCACCCGACCATCCTCTTGGAGTGGGAGCTTACCCTCGAAGCCATTCTATCACCCCAACCCCCTCCCGCCTACCAAAAGTAGTGAGCCCCAGAATTCTCGAGCTCTCTTTGTGTTTCCCTGATGCTTGCTCCCCTAACCCGCCCCTCCATTGCGTTGTGTGTTGCATCAATGCGTGGCGCGACTCTGCAGCCCAGCAGCATCTGCTGTGTACTGTGAAGCATTATCAGGCAGTTGGCAGGCGTAGGGTGGGGCCTGCCGAGTGCTGTACAGAGTGAAATTCAATACGAACAGTGCTTCAGGCTTGACGGAACAAAGCACACTAAATTTGTATGCATTCAATTGAAGTATTTTTTTTTGGATTTGGTTTATGGCATCAGTGCTCGAGTTCTTTAATTATGTTCGCAGTTAACCAAACCGAAAATTAATCAAAATATTTATGTGCAGGATCAGATCGTATATGTGGAGGATCAGATCAGTCCAAGTGCTTGCGATTTGATTTTCGAGCAGAGAGTTTAGTTGAGTACTGTTTAGTTGATAAAGGGCGAAGATCTTTCATTAGCGCAGTTGTTGCCCAGGGCAAAACACACAGAAAATGCACTCTTCTCAACTAGTTAAAGATTCGAAGTGAAGACAAGGCGTTTGCACTTAAAGGGTTTACTGCTGATAGAAGCAAAAGATGCTTCGTTATAGGTGAATACAGACAATCTGCTCGTTCTTTGCATCTTTCGCTTTTAATTTGTAAAGGAAATGTCTAACATTCCTTTAATTCATAATTCAAATTTTACATTAAGACATGCATCTTATGCAGAGAAATACAAGCTTTAAAAATATCAAGATTGTAAATTCACGAAAATTTGTTGGTGCTTCGGTTCTCGGGCCAAAGCCAAAGCCTCGAGTTCGATTCATGAGCCTGGTTTTTATTTATTAATTGGGATTTATTTTTAAAACACTTTAAAGTAGTCTTACGACGGCTTAAGGCTTATTTTTATGAACGGGTTAGCACTAGATAACATGTTAAGTGATCCTAAGTATTCCGCTTTAAGTGGAGAAAAACATCCCCCCCCCCCCCCCCCCCCCTCCGATCCTCACATATCAGCTGTAAGTAAAAGAATTTTAATACCAAACAAGAAATTCATTTAAAGTTAAGGGCGACAAATTGTGATATATTTTCGGTGTATATTGTACCACTGTGCCCGGTTAGGTAATAGTGGCCATGGTTATAGGGAGCGAGGGGCGGTGTTTTGCGTGCAGGGGGCGGGGGGGGGGGGGGGGGGGGGGGGGGGATTGTTGGGTTTGGGTGTGCTAGTCGGTTAGGCGCTTTGTCAACCTTTTTTGGCCGTTCAACTTGCATTTGGTGCAGATTGTCGGCCCGCGCTTTGAGTCGAAAGTTGACTTGGATTTGTCGCTGGGCTGTCGTCAGGCGTCGCTAATGTGCGTACGTATGTGTGCGCGCGCTCGTGTGTGTGTGTGTGTGTGTGTGTGTGTACTGGTGTGTGCATGGCAACGCATTTTCGTTGGTAGTCTCCCAGGCGTATATATATATACATATATATATATATAAATATATATATAGATATGTATCTGTGCGTGGCTGAGTGTGTCTTTGTGGGTGGCGAGTGCAGCAGGTCGTGGAATTGCAGAGTTGTAGACGGACGGACAGACAGACGGACATATCAGCATTGCCCCAACATCACCCCGGCATCGCACTTTGCGCATTGCTTTTTCCAGTTACCCGGCCTCAGATACAGATGCAGATGCAGATGCACAGGCAGAGATACTTTTATATATACATGCATGCTATATAGCTACATAGCTGTAGGTATCTGTCTATATATGTCTGTCTGTGTGTGTGTGTGTGTGTATGTATGTAAATGTACTCATATGTAAGTCATGTATCAAATGAAGAGCTCAACTGCTGCCTGCATTTTTTTTCTCCTAATGGGCCACAATATTCCATATTCCTTTGAGCTACGTTTTGGCTTGGCTTCCATTTGTTGCGTTTATAGAAGCGTTAACACAGGCAAATATTGCGTATACGCAATGTAAGCACTTTGCAAATGGATACCAAAATCGTTGGTAAGAGATTAATGCTACCTTTCTACAGATTCCGTATATATATATATATATATATATATATATATATATATATATGCTGGCTGGGATTGTCCGTCCTTGTCAGGGGCAAATCGTGTTTATAAATATTTATCTAACCTGTTCACAATTCGAACGTTTGATTTTCTGCAATTTGTAAGTCTTAGAAGTGCTTTTGTACAAACACTTTATTTCCTACCAACTATTTTAAACTAACAAAGTTTATATATTCCTGGTCAGCATCAAAAGTCGAGTCGACCTAGCCCTCTCCGTCCGTCCGTCCATCCGTATGTTTGAGTCGATCTAAGCACGTAAAGCTAAAGCTATAGACTTGAATCTTGTGAGTAGGTCTTCCTAGTGCCCGAGCAGTACAAATTTATTTACGAGTATCGATAACTTGCTTTGTTTCGAAGCGAGCAATAAAAGTCAACATCGGAATCGGAATACATATCTCTCAGGTTTTAAGAGCTAGAGTCATCGAACTGGGCATGTAGTTGTTTCATTATTCGATGCAAAGATTAGGCATATTTCATTTTTGGAATACCGCAAAACACTTTCTATGGGAATCACAGAACATCTCGTATCCCCAATTGTACTTACGAATATTACATGGCACAAAAGGCGAATTGACTTTTAGTTCAAGTAGTTCGCTCGGTGCAAGTTCGACGCCGTGGGAGGGCAGTTCTGACCGATCGATATAGAGGTCCGATCTGGCCAGTAAAATATTGTATAATATATTAAAATATATATTACATACTAGTTTATTATTTAACAAATGTGCTAAGCCTACTCATGTTTATATCGTGAGATCGTATCTAGAGTAAGCCTGATCTGCAGTGGAATCAAGAAATACGTATCGAGCCTTTGAGATAGAGATGCTAAAGTTTTTAATATTTCAATCGGTCGGAAAACTATCTGAACTTTTTCCCATTGATTCAAATACGTACTCGGATGATTTGCTTATATAATCATTTAAGCTAAATTGTGTAAAGATTAACTGCAAAAATAAGCAATAGCAAGATTGATGGCATCGATGGCATTTTATTATGTTCTTGAATTATCAGATGTGCGGTCTATAAGGTTGACTTCTTGAACGTGGCCTTCTTTTCGTCCTTGGATGACATTTGAACAGGCTTGATATTCTTCTTCTGTTTAGGGTCAACGATGAAACTTTTTTTTGTTTCCGATGTCTTCATTGGAACATTGGTTGGGTTAGTTTCATGCTTAGGCATGGCTACTTTAGGGCTAGACTTTGGTTTGGCTATTTTAGAGGCGAGCTGTGCACGGGGCAATATCTCTGCATCAGCTTTATTGCTATTAAATAAAGTAAATGGTTGGCAATCTATATATGTTAAATGAAAAATGTTTATCCGACATACATTATCCGATCTTTGTTGTTGTTCATATACTTTTTGGTTAGTTCCGTCAGTTTGTTATTCGCCATTTCCAGTCGTTCGTGTTCTATTTTCCATTCCTCGCTGATTTCTTCAGTTCTCTTTCCTATTTTCATTGTACTTTCCCACAATTTGTTCAACTAATTGCAAGTATTTCGTCAAGATATTAACCGAAAAGATTCTCGAACTACTTGCCTGTCGTCGGTAATGCTTCAGCCTACAACGGTTGTCACGACTCTTATCCTCATCCGTATCTATATCACTTTCCTCGCCGGTGTCCCTTTCGCTATCCTCGCTTTCTGGCGGAGGCTTGACTATCATATTCGCTGCCTGTCTCTTCTTTTCCATGTTGATGGACCTTATTATGTTTAATATATATGTTTTCCAGCGCACAGTTTGTACATTTAGACTCAAGAAATATACGTTAACTGATAATTTCCTCGATCTAGCAAAAATATTATTATACTGCCTGCTGTGTTCAAACTTTTTTCAAAAATAAAACGCTTACTGCAAAATGCCTGAAATCGATATGTATCGAATTTAGGGAAAGCAGACAGGTAAGAGGACTTTACCAAACCAGTTAGACGCAAGTTTGCACAACTTTACTGAACAATTAGTTAATAGCATTTCTTTTTAAGTTGGCATCTCCGATCTTATGAAGAGCCCATTATGTATGTCATATATATAATATATATGTCTGAGCACCAGGAACTAGTTACCTTCTCATATCTGACAGTCCGTCCTTGCAACGGTAAGACTTTAAGCAAGAGACTCTAAATTTGGAAGAACATATGTATACTAGTCGCATTCAAAGTTCATTTCGCTTCCCTTCATTCAATCGTTTTTCGCAAATCGATAATTATCGATTTATAGTTTTTGAGCAAGTTTGGTCGGTTTTTAGAAGCTTTGGGTTTGGGTTAATTATTATCGATTTTAAGCCTGTTTATTTAAGCTTCTTAAGATGGTTTATTAAGTATATATTATATTAGTACATATATATAATAGTATATATGGTATATGGCTTATAAAGTATATATATTCTTGATCAGTCCGTCTGTCCGTCCGTCCGTATGTATAAACGCAAGGATCTCAGAACCTATAAGAGATAGAGACTTGAAATTTTAGATGTAGATGCTCCTAGCTCCCGCGCAGATCGAGTTTGTTTTCGATAATCGATAACTTGCCCCGTTTCCAAGTAATCGATAAAAATCGATATCGATATCCTGTTTTTGAGCAATTTTGTTAAATAATAAGAGCTAGAGTCACCAAACTTGACATATAGCTTCTAAAATAGAATATCTATATGCATTTGATGTTGGAAGAAGAGGGTTCAGGGTATCCCCTAGTCGGGAGCTCCCGACTAAAACCTCTTACTTGTTTTGGCCTTTATCTCAGCGAGATAAATTGTGTTTTATTGAACATAACTTTCAATCTACGAGAAAGAAAGAATATCTTCGGCACGCCCGCGAAGATTTAATAAGCTCGTAAATGATGAGTGTGATACAAGTACCTATGTTTCGACCGATCGTTCCTTGCCAGCCATATGATATAGTGGTCCGATCAGGCCGGCTCCGACATATGATCTGCCTGAAAAGAAAGACGGACCTATGCAAAGTTTCTGGACAAAAGCTTTAAAACAGAGAGACTAGTTCGCATAGAAACAGACAGGGGGACAAACGGACTAAGGCGTTTTCAACTCGATGCTTTAATGCTGATCTAGAATATATATACTTTAAAATTATAATACCCTCTAGACGTGTACAAAAATCCAAGACCGAGAGCCGGGCAAACCAAAAATCTTCTAAAACTAATAAATAGGTCCCGAAATGCCAACAATAGTTAATTATTATTACTATTAAACATATTATGTTCCTTTTATGTATGATTATTTTTTATTATTTTAATTATTAAACAAATTTATAACATTTTGCAATAGCAACAAAGGCAGCATATCGTTAAAAGTGGGCGTGGCCGCACACGTATGAACCCCATGCAGAAAGGCAGCAGGTGCCACTTTGGTGCTGCGCGTGGGGGGGGGGGGGGGGGGGGGGGGGTTGGTGTGGTGGACTATCTGTGGATGAAGATGTGATGTGATGGTGGAAGGGCGATGGAGGGGGGGTTCTCAATACAAGGGAAGGAGGCCTTTCTAATAACATATCGCTAACATGCACGCAATGTGAGTAAGCGCAAAGGGGAAGAAGCACAGTAAAAGAAAAGCCAATGGAGTTTTGACGGTGAGAGGGGGGGGGGGGGGGGGCTATGGGAGGCTGCGTTGGCATGTGTAAAGTCGGCAGAGGGCTGGTTGATGGGGTTGGTGTTTGGGGGTTAAGTGCAAAAGTTGCACAACAAAAAAATTGAATTTTTAATTTGCTCGCATAGCGCACAGCAACAAGAAGCGCAGCACAAAGCGTAAACGAAGGAGGCGAGCAGAGAGACAGGCGAACTAACGGAGGGAAAGAGAAAGCTAGACGTGGAGAACCTGATGCAAAACGATGAAAAGTTGACTTTTACGAATAAAGCGAAGAACAGAAACAACAACAACAACAACAACAACAATTGCACACGACGAATATGAAGGGAAACGCAAGCCAGAAATAAACTTTTTACATTGAAGCACACACACACACACACACACACACACACACACACACACACACACGCACACACGCTCGCAAATTAGTGTGCGTGTTTGCGAATCTACTTTAACATTTTCATATACATATGTATATGTTTGTACATGCTAACACACATATTTATGTACTCCCGTCGCATGTTACCAACCCCCCCCCCCCCCCCCCTCCTCCCCATTCCCCATCCAAAAATGAGAAGTTGAGTTTTCCAGTTCCGAGTTGAGTTTCATTTTAACGTTCGATTTCGTATGGCGTGCATTTCAGCCTGTAAAACAAAATGTATTCGAAAACAGCCGACACACAGTTTCGGTTTGCCCGACTACAAGATACCCTACACATAGTTTTGAATTTCCCGACTATGAGATGCCTTACAAGCAGTTTGAATTTCCCGACGTTGAGCTTAACTACACACAATTTTCAGTTGCCGGACTATAAGATACCCTACATGCAGTTACGAACTGCCCGACAACCACATAGTTTCGAATCGACCTACTCTGAAATACCCCAGGAAATATACATATATATATTGAGGTATTTATAGAAACGGAGGACGACATATCTAGATGCCTCAGCTCGTCGTCCCCAATTTTGTTCCCATTTTAAACTAGGGCTGATTTTAAAAAGGAACTTCCGAAATACGAGTTTTTCATTCATGAATTCCTTAAAGCTTAATACATACATCTACGGCACGCCGAAAATTAAATACCCTTGGTAACAATGTTTCGTCTCCATGTGATCTATTCGACCCATTTGATATATTTTAACAGATATAAAAAGCTGTTTAGATTGATCAAGAAATTGTTTTATACAAATAGGGTGATCATATTTCTTTATGTACCCGATTAATTAAGATCACTCTTCTTCTTCTTCTTTGAAGTTTTGAAAAAGTTTTACGCCAAATGGCAAATACGAAGCTCAGCAAAATTCCAGTTGCAAGTTACTTAAAAATCCATCTTAAGTAGCTGTGTCCTTGAACTGTGCCAAACTATTGAATTCGATTCGATTGGATCGCATCTGATCGCAACTCGCCATAACAATTTGGTGTGTGGAGTGGGTGGGGGGGGGGGGGGGGGGGGGGGGGGGATCTCTTGTTGCTATTATTGTTTTGTCTACCTGCCTGCAATCGCAACGTATTGCTGTTGTTGTTTTTGTTGGTCAGCTTTAATCGCAGCAACTGGCTGTATGTATACAATTGAGATACGTCCGACCAGGCCCCTTCTCTCCCCCCCCCCCCCCACCGCCCCTCCCCCCGTACACCTCTCCACACGCTGCATGTTGCCTATGTATGCCAGGCAAGCGCACAACCTCCCCGCCTCAATACACCCCCCCTCCCGCAGCCGCATGTTGTTTGTTTCCACTGTCGCTGCTTTTGACTTTTGCATTCGTTTGTTTTGTGCTCGCTGTTTTGTCGCGTCTCGTTGTTGGTCAGTTTGTTGTTGTTGTTGTTGTTGTTGTTATTGTTGAGTTGCACCATAGCGAATACAACAGCAACAACAACAACAACAACAACAGCTTCAATTGCGCACTTTGCGTTGCGATTTTCAACATCTCAGTGGCTGCTGGCTGGCTGCTGTTGCCTAGGTTCACATTCTCATTACAGTTCATTCACCCAAAAGATACGGCTTTATGTATCTATTAGTTATGTATGTGCTGCTGCTGCTGCTGCTGGCCATGTGTAGAGGCTGCGAGTGGCAGCAACAGAGCCAACGGCAACCAACAACAACAAAATGCTGCACCAACAACAGCAGCGGCAGCAGCAGCAGCTTCGGCCTGCACTTTCAGCCAAGTTTTGATTTGTGAGCTATGTTGTAGGCACACACACACACACACACACACACACACACACACACGCGCGCGCGCGCGCGCACGCACGCACACAGCTTCAACTCAACGTAGGGTCAACTGTGTGTATTACATCGTCTCTGCTTCTTCTTCGGCTGCAATTGTTTTTCTCACATGCCTTAAAGCTACCGCTGAAAACTCTTTTTATAACTTTTGTCAGCCAACTAATCGCATTTGCATTTCTTTCTCGCTCACTCTCACTTATATACTCTCTCCATATCTCACTCACTCCCTCTCTCTCTATCTCTCTCTTTCATTGCAGGTGAGTTTCTTTTGCAACTAGAACCAATTTCCAGCTGAAATCCAACCATCCAATGAATCGGGCCTACGCAAAAAAAAAAGAAAAGAAACAAATCAACAAGCTGTTGCATTGTCTGGTGGCGCTGCAAACGGGGCAAGCATATGGATTTGGTGAGCGTGTTTGCAACAGTTACGAAAATAAGCGATAAAGGCTTGACCGTACTTTTCTATACATTCATTTCGTTTCATTTGTACAATATCTAAAATGTCAAGTTCATGAAAAGCAGCCACAAGTTTTTTTCGGCTTCTTGGGAAAGCCTCTTACCTGAAGCCTAGCCGCATTTGGTCACACTGGGCTGAGCTAGATCAAAACCCATTTTTTACTAAAGCTAACATTTTTATAAATAACTCTTCCGTTGGTGTGGAAATATATCGAATATCTAAGGAAAGAACCCCATTTCAAAGGCGAGAAAACAGTATACTAAAAGTATACCAAAAACTTCCAAACGGTTTCTTCAATGGGCGACAAGTTTAAGGGGCGTTTTTTTTATACCCTGAACCCATTAAAAATGGGTATAAGGGTATATTGTATTTGTGCGAAAGCCAAATGTATGTAACAGGCAGAAGGAAGCATCTCCGACCCCATAAAGTATATATATTCTTGATCAGCATCAATAGCCGAGTCGATCTAGCCATGTCCGTCTGTCTGTCTGTCTGTCCGTCCGTCCGTCA